GGGCGGGGGGGGGCTGCAGCGAGGCGGCAGGGCTGGGACTTGGACCTCCAAGCCCAGACCCGCTTTCTCAACAACACCAAGGAATTTAGGACCCTGATGGCTGGCCAAGCCAGTGGGACCCGGGCTCTAAAGAAAGAAGTGAGGCCTCAAAAGACAAACTGTGTTATCTTCCTTGACCCGAGAGAGGCTCCTTCACTGGCATCTGACCCACTTGCTAAGTGGGTAAAAGGCCTCCTCGAGTTAAGGAAGAGCTCGCGTGAGTTTGCCTTTCTCGTTTAAACAAGGGAACTAATTGCAAATTGTTTATAACCATTTCAAAATCCACCACCCAAGGACTTGTCAGCCTCCGTCCAAAAGTACAGCTATTTCAAAAGAGACAGGAAATGACATCAGCACAGAGGGACTCAAACTCCTTCCCCAGCCACCTCGCTGTGAAGTCAGACCCCAACCTCCGCCCCCCACCCCCTGGCCTGGTTCAAAACAACCTCTCAACCCAGTGTCTAGGGTCCAATTTCTCCCCAGGCCAGCCCGGAAGACCCTCCCGGGGCTGGAGCTGCAACTCTAAAGGGGCTGAGGGTTCTAGATTACAACTGCCCCCCTATTTTCCAGTGGGGAGATGAGAAGCTCCCAGTGTCCAGCCACCCTGGAAACCCCTCCTGGTGGTCTGGCGCTATGGGCATTTACCCAGACTGCTTTGCAGGGCCCAGGCCACAGGCAAATGCCCGACTACCTTTTGGGGGTAACTCAATCCCATGCAGAACCCTGGATTTGCACTGTCCCAAAACACATCTGTGAAGGAGGCTCTATTTAACCAAATGGAGGCCTAAGGCTCACTAATCAGCCTCAATAACCAGCTGAAAATATTATTGCTCTGGGTACTAAAACCCACGTTAAAAAAAATAACATCCCTTTCAGGTCAGCTCCCTCCCAGCAGAGGCCCGGCTGGGCAGCTGGGCGCCACAGTTCCACAGGGCGGCAGCCGGGAGCACGCGGGGACAGGCATCCCCAGCCCGGCATCAAAAGGCCTTTCTTTGAGAGTCCATGTCAGGTCGCCACCACTTGAAGAGCATTTGTGTCGGGAGGCAGAAAACCAACAGAAGGCTTCCAGCTGGGCTTTCCACACCGATTAAGTCACCTGGAGTGACAGGCCAAGTCTCCACGGTGACCCCCGAGAGGGGCTCATGGGGGACCCGTCCTGAGAGGCCACCTACAGAGAAAAAGCACCATGGCAGCTCGGCTGGGCAGAGCTCAGGCCGATCACACAACCAGAGGCGGGGGACCACCCGGGAACCCGCTGCTATGGGAACACCCTTGCCCAGGTAGTCGGCCAAAGCTGCTGAAATCAGCTTCAACCAGAAAACATAGACAGCAAATAAGAGGCTGGGCTGGGCCAAGAGCCTAGAATTTTACTATTAGAGTGGGCTCTGGAAATGGCAGCCAATGACTTCAACGAACAGAGAGGTAAACCACATGCCAGGATGCCCCCGTGACCTCCATCCGTAAGAATTCCCTCCAACCAGGGAGGGTGGTGGGCTTGTCCCCTCCTCCACAACAGAGGGGACACACACTGTCCTCCCTGCTGTGTTGCCCATTTGAAACCTTCTCCTGCCCAGAGCTCAACCCTAACAGCCAGAGCGCCAAAGAGCTCCTGTGCCAGTCCACACGGAGGGTATTTCTCTTCCCCAGATACATCCATGGTGCCAACGGAGGGAGGCATTTAATGAGCCTTCTCTTTGCACGGTGATTTATGCCAGACACAGGAATGGCCTTTGGGGAGGAGATGCTGTAACGCAAAGAGCAGAATACTATATTGAGTTTAAGGCGAAAAGAATTATTTACATATCTGTACTTGCCAAAGAGTATAAACATCTGTGTACATCCTAGTTTATAAACCTAATATTTCATTCTCTTGGCTGGCTCTAATTGCATCATCCATCTCAGGAAACGCTAATAAAAATATGTCCTCTATTAAAACACATTTCCCTCAGATGAGTTTTTAAAAACATGAAGACTGCAAACCGGTACAAGGGGCCCTGCCACGTTTTCACAGAAGCCAGCACTGGTTTACAGAGCAGAGTCTGAGCTGAATTCCTCTCGGCCTCTGACCAACTTGAGATGTCACCTCCTCCTCCCGGGAGCCCTTCTCCTGCCCTGGCAGGAAGATGAAATCAGAGAGGCTCTGAGGTCTCGCCACCTCCGGCTTCTGTAATTACCGATGTGGTCAGCTTTTCCAGAGTCCTCGCGGCAGGGACAAGTGACACGCCCGGCTGGCAGGGCTGCTCCCCGTGGCTCTTTCTGGAGAAACACCCGGCTCCTCCCACCTTGGCCTCAGCGTCTTGCTGGTGCCCGACCGTGGGGGTGGGGGTCTCCGTTTGCCCCTCTGGAGTCACTCCCCACCCTGCGGGCTCCCTCCCCGCCTGGGCACCCGGGTTCCTGGACCCCCTTCCGAAGACCCAGCTCCTGCAGCTGCCTTCTCCCACTCCTTCCTGCATCGGCCCCTCCCCTGTCCCTGCAGAGCTGCAGGTATGTACATCAGCCAGTACTGCTTTCCCTGCTTCTGCCCAGCACTCTGTCAACCGTCCTCCGTTAAACTCTGCGTCATTCACACAGGAGCGAGCCATGCATCTCCGGCCAGGCCCCTCACTGATGCCTGAACAATCCTCCAGACGGCTGGCATCGCCTGCCCCCTCCCAGCCCCCCAGCGAGAATGCAGAAGCACTGCAGATAGGGGTGTCCCCCCGGGGCCCCAGCATCAGATGGGCCTGGTCAGTTCCACAGCCTGTGCCCACCTGGGCAGACAGAGTGTTCTCTGGTCTCTGGCCGCCATGTGAGGAGCCCTCGGGCCTGGGTCAGGAAGGGATTCCATGGCCCAGGTTTCAATGGGATGAGCCCAGAGAAAGAAGGGAGGAAGGAGAGGACCCCTGGCCACGCGGGGTACAGACGGAATGGTAGGAGTGACCCCAAGGTGGCGGCACCACGGCCACCGGCTTGAGAGACATATCTTGGCGGAGGCAAACTCAGAAAAGAAGTTAGGAGGAAAGGGTGCTGACCCTCTCTCGGGGCAGGGGTCGGGGGGAGGTGACAGATTTACCAGCCGCTGTCAGAGAGCACAGAGGGGCTGTGTTCTCACCTGCTGTGTGCCCATCATTCAGAGAGCCTCCGCCCAGAGTGGCTCCGTGCCACCCCCACACCGACCAGCTGGTCCTCCTCCTGCAGCCCCTGGAGTTATTTCTCTGTCCTTACTCCCTCCCGCGCTCATAAGGCCACCGTGCAAAGGTCTTTGACTCTCCCTGTTATTCTTTCAATTCTAAGTGAAAAGAATCCCAACCTAGCATAATTCAGGCAAAACCGTAATCTCTGGGCTCCTGGAATCCAAGGATGGGTTGAACAACCAAATTGTGGGGAAAATGGAAATGCAGCCTGGCCCAGAGCACCAGGAACCAGGGACATGAGCACTTCTGGAACCCACTCTCACCGGGGTGTGTGTGTGTGTGTGTGTGTGTGTGTGTGTGTGTGTGTGTGTGTGTGTGTGTGTGTGTGTGTGTGTGTGTGTGTGTGTGTGTGTGTGTGTCTCTCT